TCTGCTACGCATTCGGGAAAAAGAAAACAAAGGGCATCAGTAATTGCATCTTTGGCCTGGCCCGGGCTCGATCCGCTCCTGGAGCAGAGCCTGACACGCGCAGAGACCGAAGCATAGGGAAGCCCCAAGCTTCCTCAACATCGGATGTGAGCTTCAAAGCTGCAGGCCCCCATGACAATGCCTCCAAATTGAGTTTCACGGCTGAGGGTTTGGCATGCAGGTTTCTAGTCTTGGGTTAATCCGGATCAACCCCTGACGAGCCCAAACTCTGTACCCGTCGCCTTTAAGTAGAGATCCCCGCTTATGGGAGGCACAAAAGCAGGCTGTTCAACACACGTTGAACAGTGGGGCCTCGCAAAGGCAGGCGCCCAATAGCCTGCAAGGCGCGGTTTGGGGCTCGTGGATTTTGGCTTTGGGGTTTACATCAATTATTATCTTGTTGCATTTCGAAAGACAAGACAATAGGGAAGGATTTATACTCGAAGTTAGATTTCAGCCAGAGCAGCCACAAGTCGCTCTTCTCGGTCAGGGGGAGTTCCAGCAGTACCTTACAGACATGTGACATTTATCCTCGAGTGTGATGCTTCACCCTACCCTGTTCCAACTGACACTTACATCGCGGCTGTCACGAAGCTGATAGTGCAAACCAGGAAGCGGCTGCTGCTGCTGCTGTTGCTGCTGCTGCTGCCATTAAAACCACTATCGCCCTGTTGCTACGGCTACTGCTGTTGACAGCTGCTGCTGCTCGTTGGGTGGGGTGCTTGGACGGACAGCCAGGAGCTGGTCGGAACTCCCGACTACGGCCATAGTCTCAGCTTGGCTCCTCAGGCCCTGCGCATCACACCACACCTTGCTGCTCCTGCTGTCCCTGCGGCTGCCCCTTGGCTGCTGCTGCGGCTGCTGCTGCTGCTTTACGATCAAGAAATGCAGTGCTACTAATTACGAACGAGACGCCGGAATGAGAGTCATAGCATTGAAAGCTGCTGAATCATAATTAAGAACTACGTAGTGGCCTTGCAATATTCATAGCAACATCGAGAGGTTGCCGCTGCGAACACCGTGATCTATCAGAACCCGGTTGGGCACCTCGGGCAGCAGCGTGGCTCCCCAGCAGGAAGGTTCCAGTTCGGAGACCTTCATCCCCAACGACGAGTAGAATGCATCACTGGAAACTAGTCACGACACTGCACGCCTTCTGGGCAGCGTGGACACCCGTCAGTTTCCACCGGCCATCCAGCGCCAAACACAAGCTTTCGGGTGAAACCTGATGAAGCTCAAGTCCGTCTTTAGGGCATCTCACAAATTTTTGTTAGAGCCAAGGGTCTTTGCACATAACCCAGTTGTGGGAGTGCAGCCTGAGAGGTCCGGTATAGAGGAGGGAGCCAGAGCGGCAAAGACAACCCCCCTGCCTCTGAAGGCCGCGCAAAGCAGCGGCCGCAGCTTCCAAGAGCACAAAACAGGCCCGTCCCGACGAGGGGTCGCACCTTTTGAAGTTGCCCTTAAAGTTCTTGCAAAGGCTGAGACACCACCGTTGCGCACGCCGCATGCAACATGGTCTCTGCCTGCCGAGCTCCTCCCACAGAGAAGCCTGGCAAACCCGAAATTGCGGTCTCGCCTCACACCTTCTCCTGCCGCCTTGTGGAGATCCTCCACGACACCCACATGGCTCGGCCTTGAAAGTCCCAATATCAAGAAACATCTTGACAGCCTCACCGGGCCCTCGGACAGGCCGAGGAAGGCGTGTCGAGACCTACGTCGTCGCAATTCATCGTCAAGCAAAGCCAATGCCCCGACGACGGAAGGCCACCTGCCTCAGAAACAATCCGCCCTCCTCGTCCAGAAATTCGATTTGCAGACGACGGGTCAGCCTCCAATTACAGGGCAGGACTCTCGCCAGGGCTTTCCATGCTTGAGTTCTGGTGCCTCTGCGCCTCTTCTGTGCCAGACAGCTCGAAGACCTTTTCAGGATTCCGAACTTCCGAAAGGAACCAAAACAGGCCCCCTCTTGCTTGGAGGTCCGGGATGCCTCCAGGGCCCTGGAGACGCCATCCTCGCGGTCGAAGACCTGAAATCGGCCAAAAAGAGCCCGGCGGAGCTCAGCTTTTTCGAACCCTCGGCCTCGAAGAGCTGATGGGCCTTGGACGATTTCTTCCCTCTCGGTTTTGGCTCTAGGAACTCTAGGTCTTTGGGAAGACTTTTAGGGATTGATTGCATCCCTGTATCTTCCCCTATGTCAGCTAGAACCAGCTGAAAGTATGCCGAGACCATGCCGTTTGGTGCGAACTTTCTGGACCTGTGAGTTCTGTCTTACTCTGAACCTGATCTCCGGGACAACATCGTCGCTTTGGGGGACTGGCCCAGGGCCGCCTCGGCAGCGCCCGCTGTACCTACTCGGATAACTATCGCAAACCGCAGGCAAAGGGCCGGCAACGCGATCCGAGCCTCGTAGCGACCGGCAAAAAGCGAGGCCACAGCAGGCTCGACCCAACTCGGGACCTCTGTTTCCGCTTTAACGTGGCTCAGACAATAAAATCTGGAAGACGTGGAATTCCGGCAGTTTGAGCATCAGGCCAACTGCACGGGGAACTCCAAAGGTCCTTCCGGTTCCACGCTGACCTCCACATACATCCAAGAGCATCACGCTGCGTGCTTGTGAAATTCGCCCTGGCTGCTTGGGCCGTCCTGAAGCTGAGCAAAGCCCGTGGGCTGGCCACCTCTCCAAGTCGGCGAAAACAGGAAAACGACACTTTCGGGAGGGATTTCTCACACTTGTGATATCGCTCCAAGCTTTCACAATGGCTTTGCGGGCGTGGTTGCGAGTGTTACTGAGTCCGACTGCAGCACTCTACAATTGCTAATGATCTGCCGGGCGCGACGGCCTCCTGGACGTGGCCGGCTCCCCCAGCGAGAACGTGCATCTTCAGGTGAGAGCCTGGGGAGATACAGTAAACTGGAATTAGAAGGCCCAAAAATCGACAGCAAGCACCATAACAATGGCAACAGCCGCAACGGCAACACTATGTAACACTGACATCAGATGCACGAATCATCAAACGAGATAAGAACAGAGACCTTCAAGGAATGCAGTGCCACTCTGGAGGGAAAAGCGGGTAAAGGCCTGCAGGCCACACGCCAGCCGGGCAGCGGCACCGGCACTTCGCCAGGCAGCCTGCAACCATCTTGTACAGGGGGGTCAAGCATGAGAATATAGCCTCAGGCGAAGTCTGTTGTATGCTGCAGTGTATAATTCGCACATACGTCGTGACAGAACAAACTCTAAACGCTACACTCTAAATACCAAACCAGCTGGGCCGGGCCTGGGCGGAATGACCTGAGCCTGGGCCTCTTCCAGCTCTTTGTGGCTGGCTTCGGGCTCCTGGCGGTTCCAGGACTAAAGTTTAGGTTTTAGGGGACAACAGAGCAACGACGCATCTTCCCGACCTGAGGCGAGGAAGCCTGACAGCGGCAAACACAACAAAGAAGAGTTTCGAAACTTTCAAGGTGTCGGGTTTAAGGAGTTTAAGGTCTAGGGGATACGACACGCCTTGGATCGCGAGGCCGCGGCGCTGGGCGGGCCTGATGAAACAAAAGCCACAAACCCCAGCGCCAAAAGCCTCGACGATGCACTGCAGCCCAATGCCTGGGAGTATTCCTGAAACCTCCACGGAAGCATAGCACCTCAAAAAAACTTCCAAGCGGAATCACTTTCTCTGTCTGTCAAGCCGGATCGAGGCTCGGACCCCATTAAACAGCCATCATCAGCAAGACCTTGGCAGGTCCATAGGCACTGGTGAACCACGAACATCCCGTCGTGCTGTGGACCACGCCGGAAAATGCGAGATGGCGCTGCCATCTGGTGCGTGGAGAATGCTTACACGTGTTGCAGAATGCTGGTCGGCGGCTGTGTGCTTTGTGAAATCAATCGGGCGCCTCGTGTGCCTGTGAAACGGCTGCATGGAAGTAGGTTCAAAAAATCGGTGGCCTCCAAGATTGCGACGCCATTGATGTGCAGTTTGTTCCAGCACAATATGTGGACTGCGTTTGCAATCACAACGAGAACCAAAAACGTAAAGTATGTTCCTGACAAGGATGCAGCCATGTCGGGCTGCAGCATCTGTCAACCGTCGGCATGAGCACATGAGAACGAATCTTTGACCGAGTGCGGAGGTCAGTTAAAACTAAACAAGAGTGCAAAAACTGTGTCAGGAAACGAACAGAAACACAACGTTGCTTTCGCTTTGGGACTCATGCCCGTGTTAACGCTTCGTGTATGCACTTTTCTCGCAGCAACAACAAAACACGGAACACCACACGAAATCCATGGCAACGAAATTCCGAATAGCATGTTTCTTCTTGGTCCTCAACTTCTTGTTACACATAACCGCCAGCGCAAGGCGATCTGCCCCACGAAGCTTGCACATGGTATCCTATCACCACCATTCCACACGGACGTTCTGTGAATCAGAAAACTGGAACCTGGAACCAAACTTAACATGTGAAAGTGAAACGGGCACAAGGTCTTTTACTCAGGTGGTCGAACTAAAGAAACAATCTCAAGCTTACTGATGAATGGTTGTTGAAAAAGTGATGTAAATTTCGTAAAGCTAACAACGTCCAATAGTTTTTCCGCTGGCATTTTGAATTTGCATTTTTTCACAGTATCTCCAAACACTCCAAATTCAGTCCTTCTACGTCATGCGTCAGATTTTTCATGGGAATGAAGACTGGGGTGACATCTTCTTGGCACCCACCGCATCGCAAGGCGGGCGATTACATCGACCAAGACTCGTTCAGCCTCATGCCTGTACAAAGCACTTACTGGGCGAAACTCTTCAGCAACCTGACGAGGAAGCGAAGCCCCTCTGACAACGTCTGGAAGAGGGGTGGAGACCCAAATCCAACATTGGCACGCAATGGAACTTCGCCCTGACCCCATCCTTTCACAGAGATCAAGGCTGATATCGAAGAGGTCTTGCGGTGATGTGCAGCACGAAGATCTTTTGGCGTCATTCAGCTTGTTGGTGGCGCAGCCACACTCGGTTCGACCAGCTAACAAGCAATCATTCAGCCGCGACTCATACTGACAAGGGAGCAAGGCCAGATTGGCATCTGACAAGGTGCAACCATTCATCCAGAGCAGAGACTGCAAAGGAGCCTAAGTTGCAGGCAAAGCTTTTTGGGATGTGACAAGCAAGAGCTGACCACAGGCGGTCGTGGCAACTTCGACAAAACTGAGGATGAATAAGAGCAACGCCTGCGTTGAAGCGAGTGGCAGATCACGAGCAAGTTCAGCCTGGTGTCTGTGGCAACGATGAATTCAGCAGTGGCAAAAGAAGCAGATTGGTGGAAGTTTCAATCCCAACATGCCGACCAGATGTTGCAATTTGGTAGCAGGCCTGAGAACGCTTCTTGCACACGCCCGTTGCCACAGAACCAGCGCGGTCTTGACTGGCAACTTTTGCACATGTTTGAGGACATCACATCGCTTTCAATGTTTGCTTTTTGGACACTTGCGAAAGTCCAGAGAAAATCTGGTAATGCAGAATCATCAAGTGCAAAAGTCCAGGTTCAGAGTTTGGAGTTTGGAGTTCGGGTTCTCACCTTCTCGACGTGGTGCAGATCAGGTGATTCCAAAAGCGTTTGCGTATGGCTGTCTCCTTTTGTATGCGGACAAGCCTTTGCCCAGAAACGCCTTCGGCTTCGAGCCTTCGAAAACCCCCTTCCTTCCGCCTTCGAAGCCTTCGAAGAAGCTTTAAGTCAGGCTCATTTCTTGCTTTCTTTTTTTCTTTGTCTGGAAAGTTAGGGACTTTTGTCTTCATTTTTTTTTTTAT